GTGACTCCGCAGCCGCTTCCGCCTTCCGCCTCGAGGCCCCGCCCCTCTCCAGCCACGCCCCCTCGCGCAGCCCATCGTGGGTTGGCCACGCCCCCGAGGCCCCGCCTCCTCCTCTCACTCTCCGGCCTTCCACCTCTTCCCCCCATGGCCTGAGTCCGGTTTGAGACCAGCTGGGCGGGGTGGGTATCCTTTGCCCTTAGCTTCCCGCAGGTGGTGGGCTTGGGGCCTGGTGGGCTTCCGCAGACGCTCGTGAGAGGGCAGGGGCTCTTGGAGCATGACTTAGCATAATTTATTCAATACTCACGGAATCCACCAGTTCATTCACTACTTAGTCATCGATTTCACATTTGCCAATGATTCCCAAATTGGAGTGACACCATCATGATTTTTGCCATATTTTAGCCACTTACTTTAAAAATATTTTTCTCAAATCAACTCACTTAAAATCTTTTAAATTCCTACGTTATCCTTGCTTATGACCCCAAATCATGCTTTTGAATAGTTGTATATTTTTCTAAAACATTAAACTCTCAGTAAAAAACGGAACTACCGGTCTACCACCTAAAATCTCAGGTACCAATAGTGACTGATGCCCCACTATTTGGGACTGGAAATGTGTTTACCATGCGCTGATACCTGAAAAGGCTCGATTCCAGACAGCAGAAACCCCAAATCTGGGTATAGGTCCACAGATGGAGCCACTATACAGCAGCCCCTCCAAGTGCCATGAGTGTCACACTAAATGGTGGAGCAGAAATTGAAGCTATGTAGTAAGCTTTTAACAAGCACTTTCTGGATGCAGCGTGGCTAAAGATGCAGTAACAGGGAGATGCATCAGCGTTCCTTATTGTAACCTTCTACAGTGGACAGGGACTTAGGACAGGGGCTAGACCACAGTACAGCCCAATGAGTATTAAATATGAACATAACACATGGCGGTACTTTTTTTTCTGAGTGAAAGGTACGCTTGTAAAGCTTATAACAATCCTGGAACTAGAGTATTATCCTCAATCCATAGATTAGAATTGATGGAACACAAGTAAAGAGCTATGGTAGGCAGAAGTCTAAGATGGCTCTCAAGATTCCCACCCCTTTGGGTACATACATGCCTTGTATAATCCCTCCCCCTTGAGTGTGGCCAAAACTTGTAAATATGAAGGGCTGTCACTCTAGCAATTATTATGTTATATAGCGGAAGGGATTTTGCAGATGTAATTAAGGTCCCTAAACAGTTGGCTTTGATTAGAAGGGGGATTATCCTGGGTGGGTCTGACCTAATCAGGTGAGGTTTTAAAAGAAGTTAGAAGAGATTTCAAATGAGAGATTCTCTTTGTGGTCTTAAAGAATAACCAGTAACAACAATGAGCTGTCTATGATGGGCCATGTGGTGAGGACCTTAGGGTGGTCTCTAGTTGCTAAGAGTGGTTCCCTGTTGTCAGTTGCCAGGAAGAGGAGGACTTCAGTCATATGGCTGCAAAGAAAGAAATTTTGTCAGCACATTGAGGGAGCTTGGAAGTGGGCCTTTCCGTAGTTTAACCGCCAGATGAGGATGCCGCTGGCTGGCATCTAGATTTCAGCCTGGGGGACCCTGAGCCAAGAATCCGGTTCAGTCCATTCCTGACCCATGGCACCTGAGATAAGAAATTGTGTTGCCTTAAGCTGCTAGGTTTGTGGCAATCTGTTATGCAGCTATATAAAACAAATACAGGAACGAATCCAAACTCAGTAAGTCGTGAAAAAACCCTGCCTAGAAAAATCTGTGAAAAATGTGTTTTTCTTTACTAGTGGGGTTTTCACAGCTTTTAAAACCTTTGCCAACAAAGTCCAATGAATGAAGATTCACCTCCAGAGAAAATGTATCACTTAATGGTTTCCACCTCCTACCTTGATACCAAGCAACACTGATAAGCACATTACCAAATGTCTTGCAAGGTGGATGTCTTTAGGATTCTGATGATGGTTGATACAAAACAATGAAAAAAAAAATCAAATCAGTGGGAATGGTTTGGATTTATTTCTCCTGTGCATATTCATTTCCACTGGACCCATATGTAATATAATATCTCATCTGTTTCTTTGGCTGGTTGGTTTGACATTTTCTTAAAGGTGAACCAAATTCCCCAGGGCCATATGTGATACACTTTTTAATAACTGAAATAGTAAGAATATATATATATACTTTTTTTTTTTTTTTACCAGAGGAACTATTTTCTCCTGAGATCACATTTTGGATTAGGTTGCTTCTTACTCAAGGCTCCAGACAATCTTTGTCCTACCTTTAGTTCAGCAGTTCCCAGAAAGAGGTGGCTTCTTTTCTCTATGTTGAAAATGCCAACTAAATGAGGTTATTTATTCATAACTGGACTGTCAGTGGTGCTGAGAATTAAGCCCAATGGCCACTGTGGCCTTCTCTGTGCTCACCTCTGGCCTGCCATGCTTAGATGCTTCTAGACCAGTGGATAATTGATATTCCTGGTTCCACACTGGCCATCACTTCACAGTTGTAACTCATCTGCATCTGTATGATGCCTTGTTGTTACACTTACCTGTTCGTGGCTTTGAAAATAGTGAAAGCAAAATAAAATACCCAATCAAAATAGAGTCAAGTCTAAGGGCTCTCCAAGCCATCATGGATTTTTAAAAAGCTGTGGTGCCCCAGCGTCATGCACTGCCAAGTTCTGTACAACAGAAGGCCATGAGTGTGACACCCGTGTGGTCTTATTAAAAGGGGGATTACGGACATAGTACTTGAGCTTTGCGGGTATGTTAAGAAACCAAATTAAGAGGTTTGCCCTTGCAAAGTAAAATATAGCTCTGTTTTGTATGGTTACCACATTTAATATGGAATATATATTTCATTCATGTATTCGGAATACATATAATATGGACAGAAGTGAATGAGGAGAACACACTACCTTTAGAATTCTGATTATTTTCTCTATTCACCAGGCTAGAACAATATATAGATATTTAAGCGGAGGAGACGGCTTTTTTTTCTGGATGCGATTGACCCTGGTTACAATTAAGGGGTGATCCCCTTCAGATAATAAACCCATTTAACTCCTGTTTCTCTGCCTTCGCCGGGAGAGCACGACACGATCAGCTTGCTGGTAATGGGTGTTTTGCTGCCGGATGGGTTTCCGTCAAAGTAGACGGTGATGTTGTTGATCTTCTTGGGCCGGACTGAGTCCATGGCCCGCACGGAGAAGGCTGGGTGCTCCACGATGAAGGAGTAGGTGACTGTGTGGTAGAAGACGTTCTTGAAGGGGATGACTATGTTGTACCCGGCTCGGATCTGGAGGGGACCTTGCGGCTTTGGGGGCACAGCCACTCCGAAGAGGGGGATGATATACTCTCCGCCGGCAACGGATGACAGGCTCAGGGTGCCTTTGGTGTCCCCCAGGTGGCTGGGCTCGAAATAGACTTCCACACTAATTTCCGTGCCGCCCTGAGCCCCCGCGGGCGCGCTGATGACCTTCTCCGTGTGGAAGTCTACGCAGTCGGACTGAAAGGAGAACAAGTACACCTGGTTCACACGGGGTCCTGGTGGGTATAGCAGCAGCCCAGGTCCATCCCCCATCCCTCCACTCTCAGTCGAGCAGGCTATAAAAAGCTGTGTGTCCTTATGTAACTCCCTTGAAGATAGGTAGCACTTTTAATTGTTATTCCTATCTATATATATATGTAAAAGGTTAATATGCAAAGTGTCCCCTCGGGAATTCGACCAAGAGAATGGGAGTTTGATGGCTTGCTATGACGTGCGCCGATCACCAGGGGGCGGTGCAGAACATGGGGGGTGACTAGTGGCTGCAGCAGGGGAAGGGGGAGGCAGGGAGGCCGGGAACCTGATCAGCCCTGATCACCAGCCAGGCCTAGAGACTATACCGATGCATGAATTTCATGCACTGGGCCTCTGGTTTTACCATAAAGAAAATGAGGCCCAAAGACATGTGGCTGGATTATGTTAGTGTGGCAGTCATTGCTGTTGCTCCCCATAACCGGCTCTTCTTTCCTTCCATACACATGGAAGACTGAATGATCTAGATCAGTGGTGGCGAACCTTTCGAGCTTGGCGTGTCAGCATTTTGGAAAACCCTAACTTAACTCTGGTGCCGTGTCACATATAGAAATTTTTTGATATTTGCAACCATAGTAAAACAAAGACTTATATATTTGATATTTATTTTATATATTTAAATGCCATCTAACAAAGAAAAATCAACCAAAAAAATGAGTTTGCGTGTTATAGGTTCGCCATCACTGATCTAGATCCTCATGGACGGGTGAGACTAGTTCTAGAGCAGTGGTTCTCAACCTTCCTAATGCCGCGACCCTTTAATACAGTTCCTCATGTTGTGGTGATCCCCCAACTATAAAATTATTTTCGTTGCTACTTCATAACTGTCATTTTGTTATGATTCGTAATGTAGATATCTGATATGCAGGATGTATTTTCATTGTTACAAATTGAACATAATTAAAGCATAGTGATTCATCACAAAAACAATATGTAATGATATATGTGTTTTCCGATGGTCTTAGGTGAACCCTGTGAAAGGGTCGTTCAACCCCCAAAGGGGCCACGGCCCACAGGTTGAGAACCGCTGCTCTAGACAATCAGTTGAGAGAAGTGAAAGGTGTCACTTCCACACCAGAGTCTTCAGTTGCCCACGCCAGTCCCTGTAGGGACTTTTCACCCCTCTGGCACTGTGCCCAGAAACACGTGAGATGGTGCCTGCTCGTCAGCCTGGATCCCTGAGTGGCTGTGATGGGCAGAGTCCCCGTCTGAGCCTCGCTGCAAAGACAGTGCAAACGAGAGACAAA